GCCTACAGCATTTTGCGTTATTTAGCTGGGAGGGAAGGCAGCTAAGGAGAGGCACGATGGAATGTTTCTAGGCATGGGGTGGGAAAAGCAGATAGAGGGAACTCTCTCCCCCAGCTTCTCTCATCATGATGGAACTAGGACTTGGGGGGGGGGCAGAGAGAAATCTGGTGCAGTTCACACTGAAAGGAGAATCTACCTGATTCACACTTCCCAAAACAATGCACAAAGCGAAACACAACCGATCCACCAAAACCCTCGCTTCCCTGAATTTTGCAAAGGAGTTGGTCAGTCAAATATCTGACACAGAAATGGTAAAGGGTGTATATTATTGAATGATGAAAGGCGTATACTATTGAAAAGAGCTTGCGGAAAATGCGCCTGCTGGACAAAAGTAGATACCAATATGTGTAGGATAGGAGAAACCTGGCGGCGAATTTTGACGAGGACGTAAAAACAGCGACTGATTTTGAAACGTGGAGAATAGAAGATTCTGACTCATCCGAGGCCCTGTGCCTCCTCCACGAGACGCCCAAAAGGTGGCAACATGAGAACAGGGCCTTTTCTGCAGTGGCTCCTTGTTCGTGGAATGCTCTCCCCAGGGAGAGAAAAATAGGCACCAGGTGAAAATGTTTCTCTTTAACCAGGCCTTTGGCTGCTTAACCTTCCAGGGCCCTTTAAATGTGTTTGTGTGAAGGGGGTTCTTGTTATTATTGTGCATTTCGTGTCCTCATTTTGCATTTGTATGTTGTAAACCACCCTGTGATCTTCAGGCTGAAATGGGTTGTACAAAGGAGGAGGAGGAGGAGGAATGAGAAACTGAAATTGACAGTTTTGCCCATGCCAAATTAGAACTGTGAATCTAATTGACAGACCAAAGGAGCATAATTCTTGATACATACCACTCAATTTATACCTAAGAGCATAAGAAAATAAGAAGAGCCTGCTTGATCAAGCCAAGATCTAGTGCAGCTTTCTGTTCTCACAGTGGCCAACCAGATACTCCTGGGAAATCTGGATGGAGGACTCAAGCACAACAGCCCTCTCCCTTCCTGTGGTTTCAAGCAACTGGCATTCAGAAGCTTTGCCGCCTTTGACTATGGTGGCAGAGCACAGCTATCATGGCTAGAGCATGCTGCTGACAATGCCAAGGTTGCAGGTTCAATCCCTGTAAGGAGCAGCTACATATTCCTGCATTGCAGAGGGGTTGGACTAGATGATCCTCAGGGTCCCTACCTGTAGTGGAAATGCGGAAGACAATTGTATTTCGAGGAGTTAGGTGGCATGTCCCTTTCCCTTTAACATCCCCAGTTTGATTCTTGTGTTTCACACACCTGTCAGGAGTTTCTTGGGTTCTTCTGTGTTGCAAGTGGTGGCCGGATGTCCGGCTGCAGGTAGTGGGAGACTCCAGCCGCTCTGTATTAGTTCTATCTCAGAGTCCTGGGCTAATCATGAGTAATGCCAGGTGCACTTGATTACATCAAGGCAGGCTATAAAAGCCATAGGTGGGAGGGGCTCAGAGAGCTTCTGCCCAGATCAAAGGACCTGATGCTGGGAGACTGATGGTCGGGGTCTTTCTCCTGCTGCTCTACCTAGCGCTCCGGGCAGCTGAAGGGGAGGTTGGGTAGCCCCTGCCGGGTATGTTTTATGTTATGCTTTGTATACCTGATGTTTATTTGTTAATAAAACTGTTTTGGTTCCCCTTCCACCTCCTCATTCCGTTTGTCCTGATATCCTTGGAAAGAACTACTGTATTTGGCAGCACGCTACCAACTGTAGGATTCTATGAGAAGCACATTTCTGAGTATCTCCCCTACCATAATTTCAGATACAACAGTTACTTTGCCCATGAATTTGAACGATTCACTTTTAGAACCATCCAAGTTGCTGGTCATTACTGACTCCTGCAGGGGTGAGTTCCATGGTTCCACATAGTTGGCTGCCCAAGATCTTTCAGAGAGAGGATTGTCCTCTGTAAAGGAGGGCACATGTTCACCCTGCTCTTATAGAGCCACTGAAGGCCCAGGACCCCCTCCTCGCTTAATTCGAAACCTAAGGCTAGAAGAATTGATGCTTTTGAATTCTGGTGCTGGAGGAGACTCTTGAGAGCCCCATGGACTGTAAGAAGATCAAACCTATCCATTCTTAAGGAAATCAGCCCTGAGTGCTCACTGGAAGGGCAGATCATGAAGCTGAGGCTCCAAGACTTTGGCCACCTCATGAGAAGAGAAGACTCCCTGGAAAAGACCCTGATGTTGGGAAAGATGGAGGGCACAAGGAGAAGGGGACGTCAGAGACGAGATTGTTGGATAGTGTTCTCAAAGCTCCCAAAATGAGTTTGACCAAACTGCGGGAGGCAGTGGAAGACAGGAGTGCCTGGCGTGGTCTGGTCCATGGGGTCACGAAGAGTCAGACATGACTAAATGACTAAACGACTAAACAACAACAACAAGGCTAGAAGTACCTTTGTTGTTGTGGAACTTCTGGTGACCCATAGACCCTCGAAGGCTCCCAGTTCAACTCAAGACCAGATGCTGAGGAATGGACTCTGATTTTGGGGCAGGTTGTCAGGTGGCCTCAATGGGGGCTTTTGTTTTTGTTCTCGCAAGAAATAGACCTTCTTAAAATTCAGGCCTTTTGCCCCATCAGCTTTAATTAGCAACAGGCACAGCAGCTGAGACCAGGCATGGCAGCAGGGGAGCAGAAAGCAATCACACAACTCATTAGCAAGCGAGATCAGTCATTAGGAGCGGTTCATCAGGTGGAACCCGGGTGCCGAGCAGGAGAAAGGCCGATGGGATTATCTCCCGCTGAACAAACTTGCTGGATCCTGCCAGAGAATTTGTCTTCCTCCTCGCCACCAGCAGGAACCCTGCTGGAAAGCACAGAAGTTCTGTTCAACAAAAGGAGAATATATATATATATATATATCGACATTATCAAATTTCGAAAAGCTTCCTTAACCTAACAGTTACCTCGTCCAGCCCACACTTTACCATCTTCTCTGCAAGAATATCAGGGGCTACTTTGTCAAAAGCCGTACTGAAATTAAACTTGTTGTCTTCGTCTTTCCACTTGCCACCCAAATATTGATGAGCATGTGTGTTATACTTGCAGACACACAGAAGATTAGCCTTGGTCTCTAATAGCAGGACTGCTCACTGCTGCTGTTCTCAAAGAGAAGAGATGCACTCTGCATATTGTAGGGTTGGGAATTTTCCTTGAAGCGGCCACAGCTATGCAGCTTGGTTAATGTAAGAACACAAGAACAGCTTGCTGGATCTGGTCACCGATTCTTCTTCTTCTTCTTCTTCTTCTTCTTCTTCTTCTTCTTCTTCTTCTTCCTCTGCCCATCTGACTAGGTTTCCCCATCCACTCTGGGCAGCTTCCAATAGGATATGCAAAAACACAACAACAACAATAACAACAACCACCACCACAACAACGAAGAATATCACACATTAAAAGCATCCTGATATAGGGCTGCCTTCAGATGTCTACAGAAGGTCGTAACATTATTTATCTCTCTGACATCTGGTGGGAGGGCGTTCCACAGGAATAATAATAACCTAGTCCAGCATCCTGTTCTCAGACTGGCCAACCTGTGGGAAACCAGCAAGCAGGATTCAAATGCAAGAGCCTTTTCTCCTCCTGTGGTTTCCAGCAATTGGTAGTCAGAATTATTGCTGTCTCCGACCATGGAGGCAGGACAGAGCAGAACCTCCATCTCTTGGCCTGGTCACTGAGGTCCGGCTTCAAGGACCTTCTGGTGGTTCCCTCACTGTGAGAAGTGAGGTTGCAGGGAACCAGGCACAGGGCCTTCTCGGTAGTGGCACCAATCCTGTGGAACACCCTCCCATCAGCTGTCAAGGAGATGAGTAACTACACAACTTTTAGAAGGCATCTGAAGGCAGCCCCCGTTTAGGGAAGTTTTCAATGTTTAATGTTTTATTCTGTTTTTATATATGCTGGAAGCCTCCCAGAGTGGTTGAGGCAACCCAGTTAGATGGGCGGGGTACAAATAATGAAATTGTTATTAAAATTCTTCTTCTTCACCAAGCACTTGGTTGACAAGGTTATTATGTGTAGGAAATCAAAGGAGGAACTTCCCCTGCTCCCTGTTAGGTGCTGTAGTGCCAAAATGAACTTAGTCAAAGCCTGTCAGAATTCTATCCTTCCCAACTCGTCGTTGATACCTGTCCGTCAATATTTCATCCTTCTGAAAGACCTACATTGGCTCCCAGTACGTTTCGGAGCACCATTCAAAGTGTTGGTGCTGACCTTGAAAGCCCTAAACGGCCTCGGCCCAGTATACCCGAAGGAGCGTCTCCACCCCCATTGTTCAGCCCGGACAGTGAGGTCCAGCTCCGAGGGCCTTCTGGTGGTTCCCTCCCTGCGAGAAGTGAGGTTACAAGGAACCAGGCAGAGGGCTTCTCAGTGGTGGCACCCTCCCATCAGATGTCAAGGAAATAAACAACTATCTGACTTTTAGAAGACATCTGAAGGCAGCCCTGTTTAGGGAAGTTTTTAATGTTTGATGTTTTACCGTGTTTTTGATATTCTGTTGGGAGCTGCCCAGAGTGACTGGGGAAACTATTATTATTATTATTATTATTATTATTATTATTATTATTATTATTACTGTGCTTCTTCATGGATGCCCATCCCTTCTAAGCTAAACCATACCTTTATGCTTGGAATGCTATGGGAACGAGGAAGAGGTTGGTGGGGTTTAAAAAGCATTGATGGTGTCACAGCTTCTAAAAATACTCCTATGTTTTTAATAGCCGCAAGGCAGGTGTTCAACGGGGGCTTTGTAGTTTGGTGTTTCTACGGGGAAATGGTCAGCATGACTCTAAGTACCAATGCAACACATGCTTTGATTGCCAAATGTTTCGACATGTGCTTTGCTTTGCATTGAAATGAAATTTCATGGTGGGGGAAAGGCTTTGCAGAATCGGTGGATGGTTGATTTACGCTGGACCCCCTTTTTTAATCCTAAGCCAATGGACACTACAATTCCCGAAGCCAGTCACTGAGATCCACAGATAACCGGGAAGAGAGATGATGTCGACGACATGCAACAGTATGGGTACCCTGCACCTCAAATAGGTAAGTCATTAACACAACTGAAAGGAAGCCGTGTTGGTCTGCCATAGTCAAAACAGAAAAAATTCCTTCCAGTAGCACCTTAAAGACCAACTAAGTTAGTTCTTGGTATGAGCTTTCGTGTGCATGCACACTTCTTCAGATACACTGAAACAGAAGTTGCCAGATCCTTCTATATAGTGAGAAGGTGGGGAGGGGTATTACTCAGAAGGGTGGTGGGGATGGGATTCAAGACATTGGATTCTTATCTCATTATACATGAACAAAGCCATTTTTCACCTTCTCACCCCTTGCTTTTTCCTGTAAGACCTATTGCAGTCGTTAAGAGTGGTCAACAGGCTCATCACAGCTATCTGCCAATCACCCATCCCCACCACCCTTCTGAGTAATACCCCTCCCCACCTTCTCACTATATAGAAGGATCTGGCAACTTCTGTTTCAGTGTATCTGAAGAAGTGTGCATGCACACGAAAGCTCATACCAAGAACTAACTTAGTTGGTCTTTAAGGTGCTACTGGAAGGAATTTTTTCTGTTTTGACAACTGAAAGGAGAAGGAGGAAATCATTGACTCAGTTATGTTTACCAGTGTAAAAGGTATCTGAGAAAGGAAATTGATACACAGCAGCTTCACACAATTCCTGTATGACCCAGCCAGAGTTAAGCACATTATAAGTCCAGTTAGCACAGATTTGCACATGTTTAACTTTCCCATTAAAACCGACGGGATTTAAAAGTGCTGGGATGTGGCAGGGCATGCGCAGCCGACACAGATTCCCTGTGTGGATCGTGCATCATGAAATGAGACATATGCAGAATTTAGTAAACTAATCTATGCAGTCATTGGATCACAGCCCTAACAATTTAATACATTCCAGCTCTAATTTTTCTGGAGGCTAGCACCACTTCTGCTAATCCTTGGGTATTTGATGTTTAAATGGTGCATAATTTTGACTATAGGAGACGGAATTAATTCTGACTTGGAGGAGGCGAGAGCAACCTCATTTGAATGTGCGATTCAAGGACAGAGGGCCCTGCGAAAACGCAGGAACCAGGCACTGAAAAGGCAAAGCGGTTTTTTCAATCCCTGCAGTCAATACTTCTGTTCGCCAACAGCATCACAGAAGGGGCCTCAGCTCAGTAGCAAAGCAAAGGCCTTACAGTGGGAGTAGCCAACGTGGTGCTCTCCAAACACCATTAGACTATAACCAGGAACAGCATCTCCACTAGCCAGCATCAGAAATATCAGCTCCACCTCCAACTATTCCTCTGGAGTCTCCACACTTGGAGATTTACTGCCTAGCCATACAAAAATGTCTTGTGCCTCTGGCCTAGGACCCTCGTACGTACAGGACCGCCTCTCCCGGTATGCCCCACGGAGAGCCTCAAGGTCCATAAATAGCAACACCCTAGTGGTCCCAGGCCCTAAGGAAGTTAGATTAGCTTCAGTCAGAGCCAGGGCCTTTTCAACACTGGCCCCAGCCTGGTGGAATGCTCTGCCTCATGAGACCAGGGCCCTGCAGGATCTGATTTCTTTCCGCAGGGCCTGTAAGACAGAGTTGTTCCGCCTGGCCTTTGGCTTGGAGCCAATTTGATTCCCTCCCCCTCTTTCTCTTTTATTTTTCCTTTCTCCTCCTGTGATGAGGCTGCATTCTAATATTTTAATGTTTCAATATTTTAATGTTGTATTTTAATCCTGTTTTTAAGTTGTATTCATTCAACTTGCTTTTATTATTGCTTGTTAGCCGCCCTGAGCCCAGCCTTGGCTGGGGAGGGCGGGGTATAAATAAAAATTATTATTATTATTATTATTATTATTATTATTATTATTATGCCAACTCTGAATGCTTCTCCCAGCAATATCAGCTGCCATGGCAATGGGGGGAAAGATGATGGGAGATGATGGGATCTTTGGTTTTGCACCATGCTGGATACTTCCCACTTTACATGCAATGTTGTCCCAGGCCACTGCCAGGTAGGAGGGCCAGAAATGGTACCTGGTCAGCATTTTGGAGAGCCCCCCGCCAGGTGGAGCAGACAGCCCTGGGCCAGATGTTCACATGTTCTGCACCCCGACAGGTGACCCAGCTGCTGAGGAGTGGTCCCCATGGAGCGTGTGTTCGACCACCTGCGGGGAGGGCTGGCAGACTAGGATGAGGTTCTGTGTGTCGTATTCCTACAGCACCCAATGCAGCGGGCCCCTCCGGGAGCAGCGGCAATGCAACAACTCGGCCGTCTGTCCAGGTGATGACCTTCCACACCGCGCATATAATTCTCCCTGCCGCTACCTCCCCAACCGCAGGGAAGTGGGTGGCTCTATCTACTCATCTGCATGCTGAAAGGCTCTGCTCAAAGGTCACGTGACTTCTGCAACAAAGGAAGCGGAATTCTGCAACCTGAGTTGATTACCTCCCACCCCCTAAGCAAATTTCTGCAATTAGTATGCATACTCTATTTACCTACACCGGGTGCTAAAGCCCGCAGCCCAAGGAAAATGGACCCCCATCATTCTGACATTTCACCCATGCTCTTTAAAGAGATAGAAACTTGCTTTGCATCTTGCAAGACATTCACAAATCCACTGACTTCACTCTGGCCGAAAAATGCTGCCAACTTGAGTGGTTTATTTTTTTAAAAAATCAACAAGCAAGCAAGGTTATTATTGAGGTCAGGGTGTTGGAGGGATTCATTCTGTCTGTGTAGCTTCCCATAAAAAATGACCTGATTATTTATTTATTATTTACTTTTGGATACTAATTGAAAGATGAGTAATATAAAGGTAAAGGGACCCCTGACCATTAGGTCCAGTCGTGGACGACTCTGGGGTTGCGCCGCTCATTTCGCTTTATTGGCCGAGGGAGCCGGCGTACAGCTTCCAGGCCATGTGGCCAGCATGACTAAGCCACTTCTGGCGAACCAGAGCAGTGCACGGAAATGCTGTTTACCTTCCTGCAGGAGTGGTACGTACGGTATTTATCTACTTGCACTTTGGCGTGCTTTTGAACTGCTAGGTTGGCAGGAGCAGGGACCGAGCAACGGGAGCTCACCCTGTCATGGGGATTCGAACCATGTTTCCTGCTTGGCAGGGGGTTGGACTTGATGGCCCTTGTGGTCTCTTCCAACTCTATGATTCTATGAACCGCTGACCTTCTGATCAGCAAGTTCTAGGCTCTGTGGTTTAACCCACAGCACCTTTTGGATACTAATGGGAAGATGGGTACTATCCCCCAGGAATAAACCTCATTGAAACCTCCTCTGTCTCATTCACACGTTACTAGCATTACTTAAAAGAGTAAATAAAACACAATTTCTTCATGTTTACAAGGATGGCTTTGGCTTCTAAGTCTACATGATGGGAGCTAGTTTCTCATGGTTGCTTCATGCAGGAGAGAGATGGGGTGGAGCTTGGGAGTTTGGCAGAAGACCACAAAGTACATTTCCCCCTCTCTTCTAGTCTCAACGCTTCCCTCTGCTGATTAGAGGCATGCAAGTGTCTTATGCTTAAGACGAGCAATAACCAAGCTGACAGCTCCTTGGCTGACCTCCTCTGCTTTCATTTCAGTCCATGGGACATGGGACGAGTGGTCTCCGTGGAGCCTTTGCTCATCGACCTGTGGCCGAGGGTACAGGGATCGCACACGGACCTGCAAACCTCCTCAGTTTGGCGGCAACCCTTGCGAAGGACCCGAAAAGCAAACCAAGTTCTGCAACATCGCACTTTGCCCCGGTAAGTTGGCAAAGAAACTTTCCCACTTGCTCTTCAGCAGGTGAGGTTTTGGGCTCAAAGGGGCACCGATGAATTAGGAAACTTGGAGGCTCCATACCATAATTTCTCCCTATATCTGAGAGTTCCAAATTGCCTCCCCTTGTTTTCTAGGTGAGAGGAACCCATGCATTGCAGCAGGCTTTTGCAAACTGGGGCCTTCCAGATGTTTGGATTGCAACTCCCACCAGCCTCAGCCAGCAACATCTGGAAGGCACCAAATGGAGAGAGGGTGGATGAAGGGTTCTCAATCTCATATTTCCAAATTTTGCACAAATGCAGTTTGACACAATTTTCACTTCATTAGTGTCTACCTTCCTCCCTTCTACACACACACACACACACACACACACACCATGAGCCCATTGAAATAACATGGTATGGACAGAAATTTGAAAATTGCAAAGATAAAAGAAGGGTGTGTTTTCTAAATAGTTTATTCATATTTACAAGGTTGGCTTTGGACTCTAAGTGTACATTGCGGAAGTTTGTTTCATGGCTGCCTCATGCAGGGAAGAGGTGAGAGGGAGAGTAAAGGGTGGAGCTTGGGGTTTAGGATGTCCTTTTCCTTAGGATGTCCCTATTTTTATTGGAGAAATGGTGGAGGGTATGCAGTCATCCAATCCCCGAGCTGTCTGAAGGCAATCCCTAAACAGGGCTGCCTTCAGATGTCTTCTAAAAGTTTGGTAGTTATCTTTCTCTTTGACATCTGGTGGGAGGTGCCACTACCGAGAAGGCCCTCTCCCTGGTTCCCTGTAGCTTTGTTCTCACAGGGAGGGAACCACCAGAAGGCCCTCGGTGCTGGACCTCAGTGTCCAGGCAGAACGATGGAGGTGGAGATGCTCCTTCAGATATACTGGACCGAGGCCGTTTAGGGCTTTGAAGGTCAGCACCAACACTTGGAATTGTGCCCGGAAACGTACTGGGAGCCAGTGTAGGTCTTTCAGGACCGGTGTTATATGGTCTCTGTGGCCGCTCCCAGTCACCAGTCTAGCTGCCGCATTCTGGATTAGTTGTAGTTTCTGGGCCACCTTCAAACGTAGCCCCACATAGAGCACATTGGAGTAGTCCAAGTGAGAGATAACCAGAGCATGCACCACTCTGGCAAGACAGTCTGCGGGCAGGGAGGATCTCATCCTGCGTACCAGATGCACCTGGTAGATAGCTGTCCTGGACACAGAATTGACCTGCGCCTCTATGGACAGCTGTGAGTCCAGAATGACTTCCAGGCTGCGCACCTGGTCCTTCAGGGGCACAGTTACCCCATTCAGGACCAGGGAGTCCCCCACACCCATCCGCCTCGTGTCCCCCCCAAAATCTATTCCATTTATACCCCACCTTTTTCTCCAAGGAATTCAAGGTGGCATGCACGGTTCTTTCCCTCCTCTTTTAATCCCCAGCAACAACCCTGAAAGGTCGGTTAGGCTGAGAGAAGACCATGACTGACCCAAAGTCACCCAGTGATTTGCATGGCCGAGTGGGCTTTCGAACCCTGGCCTCTCAGGTCCTTGTCCAACACTCTAACTACTGTGCTACATTGGCTCTCCAAACAGACTTCCCAGACAGATACAGTCTCTTTAAAAAAAAGTGAGGCAGCCATGGGTAGTGTGTGTGTGTGTGTGTGTGTGTGTGTGTGTGTGTGTATGTGACTTATCTTAAACCACTGCAGCAAATGAAAGAGCAATCTACAGGGAAGCAGCTCGCTGCAACCCCATCCAGTCTGATTAATGTCTACTGGTGAGCACAATGGTAATCAAACGCCAAACGGGCACCAAATCGGGGAGGCAGTCAGAAAGGGACAATGAGAGCAATTCAGTGCTTTAGAGCCTCGCCGGCTGCATCGGTTATTGTTCCGGGGATTTATAACGGCAAACAATGACAACTCACCGTTGCGGGCACAATGCAGTTGTTTGGCGTGCGGCAGGGACTCTTGGAGAATGAGCCACTCGCTGGAGGAGAGAAGGGAGAGGAATGGGAAGTCAGAGGGGACAAAGTGTCTAATTGCAGCAGAAGCTCTGGCTGGCTGATTGCTGTTTGATTTGGTGCAGTGAGACTCGGGTAAATGAAGTGCTGGGCTTTCAGAAGGAAGCACTTGGACAAATGATCGGATGCTTGGGTTTCTTATCCGACTATTTTATCACTCGCTTCCCTATGATATCCAATGTGGAGAGAGGATGGAGGAGAGCTTCATTATTTGTAAGGATCTACAAACACATTTCATCCTCCTTAGGGCTCATGACTGACATAGCTAAGTCAACAACAACAACAACAACAACTTATTTATACCCTGCCCATCTGTCTGAGTTTCCCCAGCCACTCTGGGCAGCTTCCAACAAAATATTAAAATACAATAGTGCGTCAAACATTAAAAGCTTCCCTAAACAGGGCTGCCTTCAGATGTCTTCCAAAAATCTGGTAGTTGTTGTTCTCTTTGACATCTTGTGGGAGGGTGTTCCACAGGGCAGGTGCCACTACCAAGAAGGCCCTCTGCCTGGTTCCCTGTAACTTGGCATCTCGCAGGGATGGAACCGCCATAAGGCCCTCGGCGCTGGACTTCAGTGTCCGGGTGGAACGATGGGGGTGGAGACGCTCCTCCAGGTATACAGGACCGAGGCTTAGGGTGAGCACCTTCTGCTGTCTCTGCAACTTTTGTCTCCCCTTTCGTAGAAATGACTGTTAGCCATTTTCACCGTCCCTCACAAAACAAGTGAACTTGGGGGGTGTTGAAGCTCTTCTGCATCCCTAGTGACCAACATCAATGTCTGGGGCAAGTGTCTCATTCCAGAGCCTGTTTTCGTTCTTCCCATGACACCCGATGGGAACCACGGGAAACTGAGCTGGCCCCATGGGAAACTGAGCTGAGTGATGGGATAGCCCAGATGGTAGAGCATGAGACTCCTAATCTTAGGGTTATGGGTTTGAACCCCTTGTTGGGCAAAAGATTCCTGCATTGCACAGGGGGTTGGATCAGATGAGTCTCGCAGTCCCTTCTAACCCTACAATTCTGTGATTCTATGGTAGAATGTGATTGATTGATTGAATGAATGAATGAATGAATGAATGAGAGATTAGGATCTGATAGCTGATTCATTTATTTTTTAAGTAGATGTTGAGAAAATCTCTCTCCCTTCCCTAAGCTCTGTCCTTGCTTGAATTCTGCTAGGAAATCTGGTTGGCCACTGTGAGAACAGGATATAGAACTAGATATGCCATGGGCCTGATCCACCAGGCTCTTTTAATGTTTTTAATATGCCATTGATGTCAGCTCCTGGGGGAAAATAATCTCATGATTTCTTGCCCTGCCTGGGGACTTCTGGAGACATCTGATTGGCCATAAGGGGAAGGAAAAAGCAGAACTGCCCTGCTGGCAACTTTTCTACATTTCTGGCTTGACTCACTTCCTCAAGAATGCTCAAGCTGGGTTTTCTGGACGGATCTGCAGTGGTTGCATACCTAGAAAATCCTTCTTTGGGTTGGCTGGATGACCTCCCGGATCCTTCCAGCCTTACAATTTGTTAGGAATTGACACTCGGACTTCCTCCTGCTAGAGAGATAATGAGCTGAAGCCTTCCAGAAATAATTAGAGTGGGTCTGTCATGTAAGGAAATATTTCAAGATATATATCTCTAATAAAAGTATTCATATTTCATTCCTAACCTGCACTTGGCATAAGGGGGCTTTTTCCAGCTGAATGATAAATTACGGCTGATATTTCAGACCGGAGAACTCCTTCGCCTATTCGTGTTAATTAAGTGATGCAAGTAATTGTGCGTTCTGAGTTAGGCTGGAGTTGGCTGGCTTCTTTGAAGTGGTACGTTATCTAGCGGGTTCCGAAGTTTGCACCGGGGCACGTGGGGGGGCCTTAAAGGTGAGAAACTTGGTGCTTAAAATAGACATGTCTTGGTTTTCCATTTTCCGACCACCCAATGAAAACCTGACGGTATTACTATTTTAGCCCTGGCAGTGCCAATCACCCATGACTTATCTGCAGATTACAGAAGTAGATGGCGCTGAAATGTCAGGGAGAAAACCGTCTTGTCAAAATGGAAGCAGTTTTGACAGTTAAACACACAAACATGCACACCAGCCCTGAGGATTCAGTAAATTGCTTCCCTGTGGACAGGCTTCCCCCTCTTGCCTGCATCTGGCATGAAAGCTTGCCTTATCTGTCACCCTCCTGATCCCAACTTGGGACTCTACAGTTGGCCATCAGGATGGCATGTGGTCAGAGATGATGGGAGCTGTGAGTCCAGCAATTTCTGATAGACATCAATTGAAGAAAGCCCATTCATCCTGCACAACTAGCACATCTTCAGGCAGTGTGTAGTTAAACTGTGGAACTCACTGCCACAGGAGGCAGTGATGGCCAGTGCCGGATTTACATATAAGCTAAATAAGCTATAGCTTAGGGCCCCACTCTTGGGGGGGGGCAAAAAAATTAAGCGGGAGATAACCAGCACCACTCTGGCGAGACAGTCCTTGGGCAGGGAGGGTCTCATCCTGCATACCAGATGGAGCTGGTAGCCCTGGACAGTGAATTGACCTTTGCCTCCATGGACAGCTGTGAGTCCAGAATGACTCCCAGGCTGCGCACCTGGTCCATCAGGGGCACAGTTACCCCATTCAGGACCAGGGAGACCTCCACACCCGCTTGCCCCCTGTCCCCCCAAAACAGTACTTCGGTCTTGTCAGGATTCAACCTCAATCTGTTAGCCGCCATCCATCCTCCAACCACCTCCAGGCTGGTTTTAAAAGAGGATTGGAGAAATTCACAGAGGAGAGAGCTGTGGATGGCTGCTAGGCTCAATGACTTTGCTTTACCCTCCACAGCTAGGGGCATCAATGCTTCTGAAAACCAGCTGCTGGAAACCGCAGGAGATCCTGCTTGTGGGTTCGCCATAGGCATTTGATTGGCCACTGTGAGAATGGGATTCCAGACTAGATGAGTCATTGGCATCGACTGCCTTTCTGTGTTACTATAGAAACAACAAAATACACAACAAAATATTACGGCAACAAAATATACAACAAAGAACATACACCTTATAATAATCTGATCCAATACAAAAAACCACAATAAAACAGAACTTTAAAATGGAACGACTTACATCAAATATTCAATATTCAATATTTTATTAGAATATAATAGTACACAATAAAATTAACTCTCAAAACTGGATTGTTGTAATAACCTGCAGTTTTATAAGAGTATATATTTAAAGTAGATGAATAAATGAGTTAATTTGGAATATGCAGAAAATATAATAAATAAAATTAAGGAACCACAGAAAAAGGGGGAAGGAAGGCGAGTTTTGAAATGTTAAGTTGATTGTAAAATTATTGAAATGTATAAACCTGAAAATCATATTTTATTTTATTTTAAAGAGAGAATTGATTGGGAAACTGAAGAACTAATGATATAACATATATAAAATAAAATAAAAATTGACTCTCAAAACATCAGAAAATAATAATAACAGCCTTCACTCCTAACAATTGCAATGAACGATTACTAAACTATGATCAATGATGATAATGATAATGATAATTTTTTATTTCTACCCTGCCCTACCCACCCAGAGCCGGGCTCTGACCGGCTAACATCATATAAATAATACAATATGCATAAAAACATGCAATCAATCGATTAAAATGCATCCCAAAAATAATTCAAATAAAAGTAACTGCAAATGAAAATGCATTAAAATACCACAATGCATACAAAGCCATGTAAAAGGATCAAACTGAGAAACAAAGACACACAACTATTTTTATAAAGCTATATCTCCGTGCAAAAGCGGTTTTCACATTCTGCCTTCCCTTCTTTCCTTCTTTGGGTCACTCAGTGGACGGCAACTGGAATGAATGGTCGAGCTGGAGCTCCTGTTCCACCAGCTGCTCCAACGGGACCCAGCAGCGGACGAGAGAGTGCAATGGGCCGTCGTACGGGGGAGCCGAATGCCAAGGACACTGGGTGGAGAGCCGAGACTGCTTCCTAAGACAGTGCCCAGGTCAGTAGTAGCGTGTGGGTCACCCTCTGCCCCTTTGGGATTCAACCAATGCATGGCTGACCTGCAAAACAACCTCCTAGTGGTACAGCAGTAAAACTGCTTGCACATTTGCAAAGCTAAGCAGGGTCTGGTATGGTTTCAAATTGGAAGGGAGACTATGAATCAAGAAGCGACAGCCTTTACCAAAGGTGTCATGGGTTTTGAAGACACTCGAATTCAGGACGCAAGAGAGAAACGTGCTAAGAGGAAGGCTCCCTTAGCAAACCCTCACCATGATCAACTCCTGCCCGGAAACCTATGTCCCCACTGTGGAAGAATGTGTGGATCCAGAATTGGCCTCCACAGTCACTTACGGACTCACTGTTAAAACTGTGTTTATGGAAGACAATCTTACTCATCTAAGAGTGATTACCAAAGAAGAAAAAGAAGATTAGATGACCCTTGGCATCCCTTCCAACTTTAAGATTCTATGATCATCGTAAGTGGCTCAGTACAGATACACATGGGAGAAGTTGCTACTGAAAGATCTGTGATATCATGGGTGCCATTCAGATGTTATGGACTACAAATCCCATCAGCCACAGCTGGCACAGCTGAGATACTGATAGCCCCCATTCTAAGGAGTTTCTTACAAGGTGTTTCATGCTTGTCTTTTGCCCCGTAAGGAGCACTAGTTAACAGACAGAAAGTTCAGCACAGCTGTCCCCAACCAATTGCCAACCAGGTGCTTAGAGCTGAAGCACTAAGATGGGATTTGTAGTTCAAAACATCTGGAACATGCCCATTTGGGGAAAGCTACTATACAGCAAGTCTTTCAGTAGCAACATTTTCTGTGTACATCTCTGCTGAGCCACATAATAGAGCTGAAACAATTTGGAACACATATTCCCATGCACAAGCTACTTCCTAGTATTACTTATTTAAGTAATTTTGATACTGCTTAGCTGAGAAGAAGAAGAAATCATCTCCAGTAGGCACTGGAAGCTGAACAGGGAGGGGATTTGTCTGAGCTCCACTGGAGGGAGTCCAATAAAACTGGGTCCAGAATACTAAACACATGCCTCCTGTTGGATATGAGCCATTCATCCAAGCCATGGAGGCCCACAAACAGTTACTCCTCTGTAGACCTCAGACAGGATACCTTAAGGTGTCCTGGACCCAAGTTGTTGGTAGCAGGGGCATAGGAAGGGGGGGTGAGGTCCAACCCAGGTGTCATCCTTGAGCGGGTTGACAAAATGGAACACCTTGGGGGGGGCGGCACTTACCGTGGGGCCTGGAGTGCAGCACGCCTGAGCCACACGTCTCTCCTGGGAGTGACGCAGTGGCTTGGGCCCCCACACTGCCTGAAATGGCAGTGTGGGGCTTGTGTCCATCAGGTGGACTCTGTTGGCAGCTCGCTGTGCCGCCCCCCTGGGTGGATCGCCGCGGTGCCCCTGTGGGAGGCTCACCCTGCCCCCGCAGCTCCGGGTGCCGGAGCAGCTAGCTACACCCCTGGTTGAGAGCCTATTTGAGAACCTCAATGGCCCCCAAGTGGAAAACCTTACAGGACTTGCAATTTTTGATTTGGTAGAAAAATATGTGGAGTTTAGCAATAGCTGAAAAATATCACATGCCAAAGGCTTGGAGAACCCAGGAAAAAATTATATGCAGTTTGGTGGGATTCTATCTCGTTTTCAACAAATGCAGCAACACAGGACTCCCTCTCCCTAGTACAACATGAAATTTCATTTTCTTAATGGTCTTAAGTATTCTACCAACCTAATATTAAGTCTTTTCCAGATACATTGTGCTGGTTTTTGGTGCTTCTGTTATGTTTATTGTATCAATTTGTTTGATTTACTTCAATATTATTATTTTTCAAAAGGAGGGACCTTGATCTGCCATGTCTGAGCAACCAGTGCAAGCTTTTGAGTTATGTGCTGGCAATAATTTGCCCCATCAATAGTCCAATCGCAGCATTTTGCACCAGCTGGAGCTGGCAGCCAGTGTGGTGTAGTGGTTAAGAGCGGTAGTCTCGTAATCTGGTGAACCGGGTTTGATTCCCCGCTCCTCCACATGCAGCTGCTGGGTGACCTTGGGCTAGTCACACTTCTCTGAAGTCTCTCAGCCCCACTCACCTCACAGAGTGTTTGTTGTGGGGGAGGAAGGGAAAGGAGAATGTTAGCCACTTTGAGACTCCTTTGGGTAGTGATAAAGCCAGATATCAAATCCAATTCTTCTTCTTCTCCACACCAGATCCAAGGGTAGCCCTACGTAGAGTGCATTGTGCATGCCCACAACCCCAGATCTCCACCCTCCCCTGAAGGAACCCTACATTACAATTTCTCCCTTTTCTCCCTTTCTCTTCCAGTGGATGGGAAGTGGCAAGTGTGGGGTCCGTGGGGGAGCTGTACCGCCACTTGTGGAGGTGGAACGCAGAAACGCGACCGTGTCTGCTACGGCCCTTTCTATGGAGGAGACGCATGTCAAGGACCCAAAGAGGAGTACAAGCAATGCAACGAGAAGAGATGTCCAGGTAAGAGATTTCTGCAGGGGATGAGGGTCTAGATGGGCCATTGGCCTGATCAAGCAGACACTTCTTATATCCTAATTTAAAACTGTGCATTAGCAGTGGTTCCTGCACTGCAGGGCACTGGAGTAAAAAACCTGCATATTTCACTACGAGTGGCAAATTCTGCCCCTCAGCTGTCTACACTCTTTGGCCCGCTGATCAGAAGAGTCAAGTGGTTCGGGCAGGAAACTCACAGGTAGGTAGAACACCTCTTGCTTTGTGAAGTGCACTGATGCCAGAGTGTCCATCTGGTCCCACTAGGAAATCAAAATGCTCTGTTGTTGTTTAGTCATTTAGTCGTGTCCGACTCTTCATGACCCCATGGACCAGACCACGCCAGGCACTCCTGTCTTCCACTGCCTCCTGCAGTTTGCTCAAACTCATGCTGGTAGCTTCAACAACACTGTCCAACCATCTCGTCCTCTGTCATCCCCTTCTCCTTGTGCCCTCCATCTTTCCCAACATCAGGGTCTTTTCCAGGGAGTCTTCTCTTCTCACGAGGTGGCCAAAGTATTGGAGCCTCAGCTTCAGGATCTGTCCTTCCAGTGAGCACTCAGGGCTGATTTCCTTCAGAATGGATAGGTTTCAGCTTCTTGCAGTCCATGGGACTCTGACTGCTCTCAGTATGGCTTATTTTTTCCTGGGGAGGGTGTGTGTGATTCTCGGGATATCAAGCTGATGGCCTTCATCCAACATGTGGCTGGATGATGACAATGATGATTGAAAGAAGGAGCCTCGAGGTGGTTCGCAGACAAATAAAATGCAGCCCAAGAATTAATCTGGCTATTGTTGGCCTTTGATTGCCTCCAAGATTCCTGGGCAGCCTTTCGCCTGACAAGTATGGGCATTCAGATCCTGTAGCCATCAGATCAATGTCTAAAAACAATTGCATTCTTATTTTGCCCTAGAGAGAAGGGGAGGAGGAAGAACATCAAATATCAACATGAATTGGTTTTTAAAAAGGAGGAAAGCCATTGAGCGTAATTGGGTTAGATGTTAAATTCTCCCAGTGCTGCGTGCTTCCTTTTGTAAAATGGCTTTTGTTACAAAGGGATATTAAAAATTACAGGGATCGTGTTATCCCCTCCTGAGAAATGGAGCACTCCCACACTCTCAGACAAGGTGGCGGAATGCATTTCTAATGAGCGTCCCTAATACAGAGTGTCATGCCTTGTTTCCCAGGAACGCACTTGAGCACAGGAGGGAAAGTTGAAAGGGTGAAATTGAGGACAAGCCTTTGGTGGTTGGTTCCTGCATGCCAGTTGCAAGCGGAATGTGGAAAGGGGGTTGCAGAGCTAATCTCCTTCTTAGCCCAGCAACACAGCTAATACAGTGGTACCTCGGGTTAAGAACTTAATTCGTTCTGGAGGTCCGTTCTTAACCTGAAACTGTTCTGAACCTGAGGTACCACTTTAGCTAATGGGGCCTCCTGCTGCCGCCGCGCCACCGGAGCACGATTTCTGTTCTCATCCTGAAGCAAAATTCTTAACCCAAGGTACCTTGGGTTACAGACACTTTAGGTTACAGACGCTTCAGGTTACAGACTCCGCTAACCCAGAAATAGTACCCCGGGTTGAGAACTTTGCTTCAGGATGAGAACAGAAATCGTGCGGCAGTGGCATGGTGGCAGCGGGAGGCCCTATTGGCTAAAGTGGTGCCTCAGGTTAAGAACAGTTTCAGGTTAAGAATGGACCTCCAGAACGAAATAAGTTCTTAACCCGAGGTACCACTGTACTATTTCTGGGTTAGCGGAATCTGTAACCTGAAGCATCTGTAACCTGAAGTGTCTGTAACCAGAGGTACCACTGTATTGAGCTAGTTAACGACTGGACTAAACCATCCAGGGGTCCTTTACCTTTACTTTTAAGGACAGACTGATCGGCCACCTTGCCTTCCGCACAGTTGTGAATGCTTTTAATTCCTTGTTCCCTTTTGTCCTGCTTCCAAAACAAACCACATTCATTCTTTCTTTTTCCAAAAGGAAAACTTGAGCTGTGTCAAAACATGCATTTTTTAAAACCACATTTCTCAAACTTCCTACTGCTTCTACATATTTTCCTCTATCTAGCTACCTAGCTATCTCTTGGTGGAAGGAGTTGGGTATGTTTAGCCTGGAGGAGAGAAAACTGATAGGTGATATGGTATGGTGCTGCTGTTGTTTAGTCGTTTGGTTGTGTCTGACTCTTCGTGACCCCCTGGACCAGAGCACGGCAGGCACTTCTGTCTTCCACTGCCTCCCGTAGTTTGGTCAAACTCATGCTGGTAACTTCAAGAACACTGTCCCACCATCTCGTCCTCTGTCATCCCCTTCTCCTTGTGCCCTCCATCTTTCCCAGCATCAGGGTCTTTTCCAGGGAGTCTTCTCTTCTCATGAGGTGGCCAAAGTCTTGGAGCCTCAGCTTCAAGACCTGTCCTTCCAGTGAGCACTCAGGGCTGATTTCCTTCAGAATGGAGAGGTTGGATCTTCTTGCAGTCCATGGGACTCTCCAGAGTCTCCTCCAGCACCATAATTCAAAAGCATCCATTCTTCGGCGATCAGCCTTCTTTATGGTCCAGCTCTCACTTCCATACATCACTACTGGGAAAACCATAGCTTTTACTATACGGACCTTTGTCGGCAAGGTGATGTCTCTGCTTTTTAAGATGCTGTCTAGATTTGCCATCGCCTTTCTCCCAAGGAGCAGGCGTCTTTTAATTTCGTGACTGCTGTCACCATCTGCAGTGATCATGGAGCCCAAGAAAGTAAAATCTGTCACTCCCTCCATTTCTTCCCCTTCTATTTGCCAGGAGGTGATGGGACCAGTGGCCATGATCTTCGTTTTTTTGATGTTAAGTTTCAGACCATATTTTGCGCTATCCTCTTTCACCCTCAATAAAAGGTTCTTTAATTCCTCCTCACTTTCTGCCATCAAGGTTGTGTCATCTGCATATCTGAGGTTATTGTATGGTAGCCATCTTCAAATATCTGAAGGGTTGCCACATGGAAGATGGAGCCAGCCAGAACCGGCCGATGCATGAGGCAGGGTGATGCAGCCGCTTCAGGCGGTGGAAGCGCAAGAGGCGGCACTCTTCCTGCTCTCCTGCCCCACTGCTTCCACCGCAGAGAGGAAGGCATTCTGCCTCAGACATAGAAACCAAGCAAGCAGCAATGTTTTGAGGAGCGCCTTGACTCCAGTCAGGTTTGGTCAGTCAAGTCAGAGACAGAGCTCAGCCATGGTGGAACTGGGGCAAAGGTTACAAAATGGGAGATAGTTTTTCTGGTGCTCCAGTGGGCAGGACCCAAACCAATAGATTCAAATGACAACAAAGCAGACTCCCAACTAACTATCAGGAAGAACTTGCTGATGGCAAGTGGAGGTTTGACAGTGGAGGTTATACAGTGGTACCTCTGGTTACGTACTTAATTCATTCTGGAGGTCCATTCTT